ACGGGGAGGAGCGCAGAGGCGGCGGCGACCCGGACCACGCAGCGCACGGGAGCGCGCCCCGCAGCTTGATTCGGGCCCACAGGTCGCGGGAGCCCAGGCGTGCGGCGCGCGGTGAGTACCCCCTCGGCCCAGGGGACGTCTCGGGGCGGGAGCGACAGCCGCCGGGTCCCCGGGGTGTCTCTGGGCGCCACGTTCCCGGAGCCGGAGGCACCTTCCCGGGGCGGAACGGAGGGGAAAGGAGCTGCCGGGGGTGGGGGAGCGTTCGGGAAAGGCCGGTGGGGGAATCCGGGACTGGGTCCCGGGCACTGACCTCCCCGCCTCTGCCCCATCCTCTGCCGCGCCCGGCAGCGACTCGCGGACTGGACTTGGCTCTTCTTGTCGCTCTTTGCCTGGGCTGGACGCACCGCCCCGAGGGACCTCGCGGGGGAGTGTGGGCCTCACTGGGGATCCTCGCGGAGTCTTTGCGGGCCGCACCGGCGAGTCCTACCCCGAGGGTGTGCGCGCCCGCCGCGGGCTCCTAAACCCCAGTGTGCGGCCCACGTCGCGAATCTTAACCCGAGAGTGTGCGGGCCACTCCGGGGAGCTCCAACCCCCGGGGCGTGCGAGGCGCACCCGGGAGTCCTAGACGCGAGGAAGTTGTGCGGGTCTCACCCGGGAATTCTAACTCCTAAGAGGGTGTGTGAACCTCGCCGGAAGTTCTCGCCGAGACCCGACCGGCCCGACTAGGAAATCTCTCAGAGGTGCCTGCAGATCCCGGAATCCACACCAAGTAGTAGGGAGGAAATGGGGTGCAGGGTGGAGACCCATGGTGGAGAGGCTGATGATGTAGAGCCAAGGTGGTAGATTTAGAGGGGGTGGTGGTGGGGGGAAGCTTGGACTGCCCTTCCTAATTCAGCCAGCATGTCAGAGTGACATATCTGCTTGCAACACTCAAAACCCTCTCATGGCAGGGATGGGGGTGGAGGGAAACAAAACCTGTACAACCAATTGGGGGGGGGGTCCAAAAGCCATTTATGCTCTTTAAAGTGACAATATAATGGAAGTTTTGTATATGTGTGTTACATTTTTTTTTTAAAGATTTATTTATTTAGTCATATGGAACTGGGGTACAAGCCAGAGATGCGGAGGGTGAGAGGATTCACCAGAGACAGAGTGGGGAGCAGAACAGGCAGAGCTACATAAGATACACTGCTGAGGGGAGCAGCGGGCGGGTCAGGAGAGGTCTGCCTCGCCATGTGGATCTCCTCCGGGGCAGGCGGGATTCGAACTCATGCGGTAGTGGCTTTAACTTCTTAGTGCAGTGCTTTAACCCACTGCACCACCAGGGAGGGCCGTGTGTTACATTTTTAAATATCTACCACCTATAACATAGACATTTTCATTATATATAATTCTTTTAAAAACAATGGGTCTTTTTTTTTTTGTGGGACATTTTTGTCATAGATATTTCCAAAACATTTTCGAAAACAGAATGCTACAGAGAAGAGTGGCATTGTTTTGTATTTTTGCAAATCTCTTTAATGTCAAGTTTAATAAAAGGCAGCTGGAGTCTTCATGTGCTTCTGCATTCAGTATGTTGCAATAACATGTCATGCTGCCTCTAGAAAACTCCACTCTATACTCCAGGAAACATGTGAGAGAAAAGGCAAATAGCACCGTGTATTAGGAAAGTGGGTTTAATCCTGTGGGTCCCTAAAGTCCCTTGTGCACACTGGGAGAACCACAGGGGTGAGATGCTTCAGTGGCAGGAGTCATAGGCCTCCACCTAACTCCTATCACTCTGTGCCATGCATGATGTTAACTTTTGGTACTTGGCACCAAACTTAACCTCACTTTAGAAAGCAAGTAGTCTCCAGCATAAGCACATGAGTGCTCTGCCTGCCTTCTGAAAACTTGGCAAGGCTCCTTTAGCTTTGGTTGTTTCTGTGCCTAAAGAACTAACCATCTGCATTCAGGTTGCGTCAGTGACTTGGCACCCGGGACCTGTGGGTTCAGAGATGGGCCCATGGGGAACCCAGGACAAGTGGGAAGGGGCTTGTGTCAAAGTTGAGAGGGTGGGAAGTTATTTCCAAAACAGCACAGGGAAGGCTTTTTCCTGCCTTTCCTCGTTTTCACTTCTGTTTGTAGTTGTGTAGCCTGGACTTCATTGGAATATGATTCCCAATCTTGGTGCTCTTTCACTTTCCTCTTTGAGAAGTGTATTTTGTGAGTAGCCCCTCAACCCCTGCCAGAACCACATCTGGCATCCAACGACTGGTAGGTAGGCGTCTCACTGGATTTTTTTCTTGGTTTCATGCTCTGTCAGCACAATTTCCAGGGAGAAATTAATATACGTGTGTGTATATATAGTTGGCCCTTGTGGGTCTGAGCTGCATGGGTCCACGTTTACATGGAACTTTTTCTATTCATGGATTTAATCACCCACAAGGTCAGCTGTCTGTTGAATTTGAGAATGTAGAATCTGCAGAAGGAGGGACCCACAGATATGGAGTATTAACTCCTAGGGACTTGAGCATCCCCAGATCTTGGTAATGGGAGAGTGGAGTGTTGTCCTAAAACCAGTCCCTTGCAGAAACTGAAGGATGACTGTAGCTAAGTTTTGCAGACATCAAATTATGCACTGATAATTTTGACTGCTCAGGATCAGTGCCTTTAACTACCTTCCACTCTCTGTTGTACAGAGTCAGCTCTACATCAAAGGGAAAATATTCTCTACTCTCCCTTTTGCCATGCAGCTTCTTGTGCGTGGATGCAGTAACTTGGACGCTGTAGCCAGTACTTCAGAGATGTTGCAAGGACATGAGCATGGGCAGCTGTCATTATACTGTCCACCATTGGGAGAAGGGAATGGACCTATCCTCTGGGCACCTGCTGTGTTCTTTGGATAAAACTCAACTTTGGGGCCCTCCCTGGTAGCACAAAGGGTTAAAGCACAGCACTAAGAAGCTAAAAACCACTTCAGCATGAGTCCGATCCAGATCCCCGTCCCAAGATGACCCACATGGTATGGCAGTCCTCTCCTGACCCGCCCACTGCTCCCCTCAGCAGTGTACTTCATCTGTCTGCCTGTTCTGCTCCCCACTCTGTTTCTGGTGAATCCTCTCATTGCCCCTGCACCTCTGGCCTGTACCCCAGTTCTGTATGCATAAATAAATCTTTAAAAAAAAAACAACTCCACTTTGATGGAGTTTTCCTTTCTCCCTTCAGTAGAAATGCATTGAATAACTGCTTTCCAAGTGTCCCGTTCTGGACTGGACACTGGGGGAAAGTACAGACACATGCAATCCCTGTCCAGCTGGAGGGACAGCGGTAGCTAAGGTTGCTGCTGGTTAACAGAGACAGGACACATGAACTGTGGTCCTGTGTGAAAAACAGTAATCCCCACCAAGTGTCCTGAGGAAGCTTGAGCATCAACTACACTGTAAAGTTAGTGACAAAAATCTACTTTCCGTGATGTCCAAAAGGAGCAACTCCCTGTGAGGCAGTCAGTCCATCCAGAGAAATGAGCTCCAGCCTTGGGGAAGACACAGTCTCTGTCAGTATCACTTGAAGAAGGGGTTGTTGTGCCATTGTTGTCCCAGGGCCAGTGTTTGCTGGAGCTGGCTTGCCCTGGCATTTTGTGCATTTCTTTCCAACCTTGTGTTCAGTGACACCACATTCTTTAGCTTGAAATAAGCCATTTTCAGAATATTTCCACCTTGGAGCTTGGCAAGTGCTATTAGTCAAGGCCTTTACCCCCTGGAGAGAAAGTTGTTAAATGTTCGCCAGCACATCATTCTTACTGTTAGAGCCAGGGTGCATTTTAGTTGTTTATATTTTAATAGAAAACAAATTCTTCAGCCTGGACAAACACTGGATATAAACTGTGTGAGTGCAGCCCTCCAAGACTTTTGATAGGGAAAAGCAGTGTATTTTCACCATACCCAAGCACATGGAACAGCACATTTTTTTTCAAAAAGGGGGCAGATATTAAATAGTTCACACTTTTTTTGAGGTATGAAAGTAATCATAGACATTTTAAACAAATGGCCAGAGCTGGGCTCCAGAAGAATTTTTATCTATAAAGCTGGGGCTAAGCCATCATTTGCTGTCCCAGAATAGTAGACAGGAGCCATGCTTCAAGGAGGAACTTTCATGGGGCAGGAATTTCTTTGGGACTTTATGCATGGATACCAGGCACTTGATAAACCAAGTTGGATACAGTGGTAAATAGTAACTGCAAAGGATATGGAATCTGTGGAAAAATACACAGTAGATAGTTTAAAGGCAGATCAAGTATGTGTCGTTTTGAGGACACAGCCTGGAGTGTGAGTGGGGTCTTTATTCCCAAGACAAGTCAGACATTATGCTGAGATGGTTGGACCTGCAGGCTAACCCATTCTGTGAATTTTAAATGTCTTTAATCACTATCTGTCTCCAGGACAAAGACAGTGTTTAAAAAGGAAGACAGATGTTAAATATATATTATACATATCATGTGTACACACATACTGCATATATGCCTACTTGTATAGATGCATATTTTGCTATATGTGTCTGAACTGTGTGCATGTGTGATCAGGCATGCCATATTTAAAATAGTCTTATAAATGTATAAAAGATAGACATAGCATGCTATTAATCATAGCCAGTTCTGGTGGTAGAATGGGGTGGAAGGAAGACAGGGAACTTCCATTTTTAGTCTTTAAAATAACCATAGCCTGCCTTACTGCAGTATTTATATATTGCTTATACACCAAAAGACATACAAAATTAAAAAAAAAAAAAAAGCTAAGATTCAGACAACCTATACTTCTAAAAGGGAAATAGAGTAATTTCTCTGGTAAAAATGTTACAGAAATTACTCGACTCCCCTCCCCGCCCCAAATAATTACTTGAATTGTCATAGCACAGTTCTGAGCTAGTACATTAATTCTAGTATACATTAACTCAAATTCATATAGTGAGAGCACCCTCTCAGACGAAAACCTTTTACTAAACAGTGTTTGACTTAAATCCCTGCCTGAGGTTAGAAACACCAGATCAGAGTGGTCTTTCATGGACTATCTTCAGCCTGTAAACTGATATTATAAAATGCTGTTTTATGAAATGTCATGCAGTTGTTTTTAAAT